TTGGCTATATAACATTCTGATTAATGGTCTTCATTACAATTTGTGCATTTACGATATAAATATTGTTTTTCTTCTTTAATTAAATAAAACAACAATAAATAAACAAAAAAACTTTTTACAATGTAAAATCGATGTTGTTCTCAGACCCTTACTGATCAAAGAGGAACAACTCTGAAAATGTGGGAGATGTTTATTTTCCTCCCTTTATTCACGGTTTTCCACAGAATCAGATACATTTACAGCAAGACCTGATAAATCCGAAAATTGAATACTATAGACCTCATATACACAATGTAAGTATAGAATTGAAAAAAATTGTTCACTTGTACTGAAATTATCTGCATTTATGAATATCCTATTGCAGCAAATCGCTTGACTTTCTGTCAACAATGTCGGTTCGCATTTCCTCGAATCAAAACAAATCGTAGCCTATAAGATTTTAAAGAATATCAAAGTGCGATTTGATATAAATTGAAATAGATGAAGAGTTTAATATTTGATATTTTGAAGTTAATGTGGACGAATACGGAATTTTCATTTTAACTTTAGAAGCGACGACATTGAAAGAAATACGTACAATATCATGAGGGGTGTACATCTATGCAAATGTCGATGTATCCCCACGGCCACATACTGTCTCGTTTGAAATAATGACATGAAAGAAACTACAATTATTCCATTTATATCACAGGAGAGTTGAACATACACAATTTTTTAATGAATAAAATTAAAGAAATAAAATTAAGAATCAACATATTCAAGTTCAACAAAACTTGAATTCGTATCCAGGTTCCATGTGATATGGAATGCATAACGCATACATATATGGACTAAACACTAAAATCCTTCAGTAATTTTTTCCTGATACATATAAAAAGAGTAGTCAATAGTTAAAAACTAATGCATACCTCCGGGATTCAAATGACGAAATACCAGTATATATTTGCACTGTAAACGACGTTTCGTCAAACGCTAATGGTCTGCGACGCAAAAAAAGGAAGGGGTGGGGGTGATAGGGGTATTCAAAAATTGCCTAAAAATCTACATTTAAATACGCTTTACATATGAGAACTTTTAAATTTGTAAGTTAATATATTTTTGAAGCAAAAGCAATATTCCAATTTAATTTTTTTAATGCGTATTTGTAGATTCATATAACAAAGTGATCGACCCCCTGTCTGAAAGACGCGCGGGAACGTGATTTTTTGAGAAAGGGGGAGGGGGTAATTTTCCGCTATTAAATCAAAACTGGTCGTACAAAAATTATATAAAAATTATGAAGATTATTTTTACTACCAGCTACCTAAAGAAAGTTTTTTGCCAAAATTAAACGACAGGTTTTTTCACAAAAAAAATTTGAATTTGAAAAATACGCAATTTTTAAGGCTTAGATAATTCATAGTTTTTCATATTAAGGTCTTTAAAAATTATTTTGATGATATGTATATCAAAAAGATGACTATGTTTTTGTGTTAAATGGTTAAAGGAATAAGCCAATGAAATTTGACATTTACATCTAACCTGGCTTTTTTGAAAATCAAGGTTTAAGTAGTTCATTGATTAAAAATTTTTTCTCCTTGTAAACAACTAAAGGGGGGTAACTTTTGGAAGTTCCTGTCCAAAAACCACTCGAACGATTTTGTCCAAAATGTGCATACATGCAGTAGATATAGTCATGTACTAAATATACAAAAATAACGAAAATTAAACGACAGGAATTTTTTGGGGTAGGTGTGTTGTACATCCTTAAACTTCATCAGAGGATGCCAAACAATATGAATAATCTTTAGCTTGTCCTTGCTGTTTTGAAAATTGTTAATTAGGTTTCTTTCCTTTATTCCTATATGAAACTTTGATCCAACAATGTGATCCCGCCCTACCCCAGGGTCATGATATGAACAAATTTAAATGAAAACTATGGTAGTAGGGCTTTAACATTATTTACCAAACAAAATATAATTGGAAGTAGAATAAAATTCATTTGGATACTCTAATCAAGATAATAAGTATATCCTTTTATTTTCAGTTACTTACATGTAGGTACTTACTTACTTAAGTACGTTAAAAATAAAGAGGAAAACATTTTGGAAGGAAAACTCGACAGAAATTAGTCAAGGTTTGAATGGAGGGTGTTGAAGATAGGATTGTTGTCATTTCCTTTCTAGATAATGTAACATGGGCTTTGAAATAGCTCGTTACTATTGTTTTATTATACCTCAGCTTGAAAAGCAGTATGGTATATAGTAATCGGTATGTCAGACCGTCTGTTACGCTTTGGGGTACCCATCTCTTATCCACAACTCCTCTCATACCACTAAACGAGATTTCATTAAACTTTCACAGTCTTTATAACATATTGCCATTGTGACCTCCTATTTCACTTTTTATCCGACACATATTTTGGGTTTCCCACAGCAAAAAATAGACACTGCAATTTTATTTCATATGGAAGGCGAGGGTTTCCTTTAGTGAGTTCATTGCTCATAGTACATGTATTTGTAGTTAAATGTTAAGATAAGAACTTTTTTCACAATATTTTCCTGATTGTGTAAAAGTAAGCCGTCGATTGTATACGTCAAGTTTATTGAAATCTGGTCACTGTTTCTTGAAAACTTGTATCTACAAAGCCAAAACAAATATTAGTTAAATTGATAAGGCGTTCATCAAAGTTTTCATAAAAATTATAGCAGTGGTATGTGTAAATCCCTGTTATAATTATTTTTTGTTAATTTGTTACAGGCGAAAAGATGCCAATTTGTATAGTATGTTACATGTACTGTTGAATCAATTCAAATAGTACATGTAAATGCCAACTCTCGTATGCAGGCGAAGTTTTGTTTGTTTGTGGAAGCGTTATTAAATGCACATAAAGAGGATAAATTAAATATATTTTGACAAAATTGTCGTTCGTTTGTAAATTGTATTTTATTTTGTGGATAACAAAATTTAATCCAGAAAAGCTCACATATTTGTTCCTCATGACCATGTGTATAGTAAACAATGAAATAAATACTAATCAGTCATGTTTTGTTACTCCTCTTGAGGCATTCATTACGTGTATATATACCTTAAACATGGAAACATATCATATTTCTCTTTTTGAATTCGTAAGTACAACAAGAGCTAAAACTGTATACTCCTCAACCGCCATATTTCAATTTTTTCGAGCTCAATTTACCTCCTCTTCTTCTTAGGTCAGAAGATACATGTAATCGAATAGCACGAGGCAAAGAAAAAATAATGGTCCTCATCCTTAAAAAATAAGGCTTTAACACTAGTGTAACCGAGCAGAAACAAGACCAGGTCAGGTTTAAATCTTTATTAAACAGCAATAAACGACAATGGCATGTGTCTATAAAAGAAATATACATAAATTATAACCTCAAATAGAATGAAAAATAACAAGTTATGAGAAAAAATATAAAAAATTGCTATACAAATAAAAACTTTAATTTTATGATATATACTGACATGCAAAACTTACACCTTACTTTAGAGGGAAATAGTTATGTAAAGTTAAGAATTATGTATCTTAAAATTATGAATATCTTCAATTTGGTAAACATCGGTGATTTAACGGTTGAACGATTTCCACACCATAACTCGAAGTCAAGTTTGAGTCTGCTTAACAGAAATCAAAAATTGCATGTTTAACAAAACATTTGGCAATATAATGGAGTTTTAAGGTTTTTTTTACTGTTCATCATAAGTAATGCAGCAATATTTCAAAAAAAAAAATAAACTTTCCTTTCGTTTTCCGTAACGATGCTAAAGCTCCCTGAAAATGTCTTATGTATGCATTTCCATTGATCTAGCTGGATAATTTCAATGAAAAGGTGATGGAGAGTTACTGATGCAAAATTTCACTACATTACGCTTCAAAAGGGTCTAACGTATCATATGCATTAAGGACAGTCCTTGTACCGGTAGTCCAAGGGTGGCTATACTGCTCTAAATTAGAGAAAATTCCACCTAATCATCTGAAAAACATGCATTTAAAAATGCCAAAGAAAGCTGAATTCGATATTATTGAACTAATTGTATCGTAGAAATTTAGCTGCAATTGTTGTTTAGGGCAGTCTTGCACGTTTTACTTGAATGGCTGGGAGGGGGTGTCTTAACAGTCATATTTTTCTTAATAAAGTAAACAGATAAGCATTTAACATTTTTATCAAATCTTTGATGTTCTGAAAAGTGAGTTAAGCCTTACTTTATTCGCTTTTGAAAATCATAAGATAAAAAAAATCAAACATTGTTGTTACTGCTTGTTGCGTTTCTTTTGCGTGTCAGTATAGATGCAAAGAGTTAGTTTGGTCTTAATAATTTTAGAGGAATGTTGGACTGTTAAAAAACTTAATGGATCAATCATAACATGTAAAATTTTACACTTCATATACATATTGGTTAATTGAATGCTATAATTTTCATTAAAGAGGTAAAATTTACCCCATAGTAAGACCCCTCCCCTCTCTTGGAAATTATTCTTTGCGTTGAGACTTTGCCTGGAAAGTGTTGCTTTATAGTGAAAGTTATCCCTAAATATATTATATATTACTCTAGCAGTCAAAATTTACCCAAGAGTCTCTTGTTTGTGTGGTTTGACATATTCCACATGCACCACTATCTGAACACTTCCACATTGTATCCTACATTTTAATTATTTTAAATCATGCATTACGTGTACACCTGCAGGTAGATCCTTGAGGATGTTACATACAATGGTGTTTTAGCTTTGGAACAGCTGCAAAATTCAATAGGCAGAAACATCATTGGGCTCTAATGCCGCCACTTAGCAACAGGGCTAAAATCCGGATTTTAGTCATCATATGATAAGTATAATAAGTATAAATTTACACTTTTATATGACTAATAAATTAGTTTTTTTGTTACAACGCAATTTAACACAAGGATGTCATGTATTTTTGGTTTAATTTTCCAGATGTCTCCCGCAGCGTGAAAGAATATAAGGAGAACAGGCATGTTTCTGATATTTGAAGTTTTGCAATATTCAAAGGGTACGTAAGACTTTTAAAAAAAAATTCTTAATTTTTTAAACCTAGGTATAAATTAAATTCTTTACAACGCATCCAAACTATTGATGTAAAGAATTTTAAAAAGCCATAAACTATTAGCTATATTAAGAAAACGGTCATACATGCAAATGTTCTTTTTAACACATGTATAGTAGCACACACAAGTCAAATTTTATATTTAGTATTTACCGCTTGTGTTATATAGCAAATCAAAGCTTATTAAAAATCATTTAAGAAAAATGTAATTTCGAGATTTTCTGGTCAAGCATTGTTACTAAAAATAGATTGCGAAATGTAACGGTATTGCCCTAGTGTGTGACCACTTTTCTGAAGAAAATATCTAGTAGCATTGAAGTCAAAACCTAAGGTAATGTATTCAAAATATAATCTCTCTCTTCTTATTTCCTTTGCCCAGAATCAGAGTTATTAAAGATCAATTGCATCAAACACCTAGATTGACCTGAATCATTAGATAGTGAGAGTCTTTTTCCGTATAATTAATTGGGTCACACGAGACACGCAACGTTACTTTGACGTTATGCTTATAAAAAGTCGTCAACAAAGCCAATCAATAAAAATGATCACAAATTAATTTAAAATAAGATGTGTTTGTGAAACACTATGCGCCCGGCAACAACAAAATAAAAAAAAAACCATTTTTAGCACATATGTCACAGTCAAGGTCACAAGGCAATTGACCTTGGTGTCATTTGAGAGAACATGATTAGTAAAGTATGGATACCAAAAATGAAGTCTCTATATCTTGTGGTTCAAAAGTTATTGCAAAGGTAAACTAAAAACGAAAAAAACTATTTTCAACATACAGGTCACAGTCAAAGTCACTGGGTTTTTCATTAATTAATAGAAATTTAAAGACTGTATTTATCCTTTTGTAAAATTAATCTTTGTGTTAGGCACAATGCTTGCAATTATAAGATTCAGTGGCGGATTAAAGGGGGTCGCATCCGCCCCCTAAAATTGTCAAAGTTAGCGTAAATCATAGTTTTGTCGAGAACATGTAAAAATGTCTAATCGGTAGACCTCAATTTTACCTACAAAATCTCAAGAATCAAGGAGCTTCCGGGGGATTCCCCCAGACCCCCTGCCTACTTTTGACGCCCCCTCTAACTTTAATTTCTGGATCTGCGCATGGGATTTATAGAGAGTTGGAGTGATATCCACTTATTATATAAAGAAAACTAAAAATCATGAAATTTTGATGTAAATTATAAAAAAAAAAGCTGCATTTTAAATTCTTCATACAAATACATTTGATCAATATGATGCGGAGAATTGGTCAGGAACGAGTATTAACTGGGAGCGTGATGTAAATCTTACATTATTTAGATTAGGTATCGGAGAGTTATATTCTGAATAGATTAAATAATCAATAAATGATTGAAACAATTATGTTTGAACTGGACATTTAAAAAAAAAACTTGCGGAATACTAGTCATAAATATGACAGCAGCAAATAATAAATTCTGAAAGGGAAAAAGAGGGGGGATTTAATTTAAAATTAATTGAACGACATTTAGTTAAACATGTAGATCTTTTCTAATGGGTGCTAAAGGTTGTCCAAACTGTTTGTGAATTATCAAACCTTTATCTCCTTTTCTCTCTCTTTTTTCTCTCCCTAATTTTCTCTATCCCTCTCCCTTTCTCATCTCTCTCTCTTTCTCTGTCTCTCTGTGTAAAACATTTGATTTGCCCCGCTTTCGCAAAAGCGAGGAGTATTTAAATCTCATTCGTCTGTCTGTTTGTCAGTCAGATTGTAGATCTGTTCGTATATCACAAAAATGTAATCTTGGTTATATATTTTGAATTAGAACAGAGAAGAGATATAATTTATATATATTAATGTGCTTTAACTCTGACAAGACCTTTCTAAATACACTATAATTTTTTACCCCATGACCTTGATCTTGAAGTTAGACCTACTTTTCAAAAACGTTGGTCATAACTTTTATATGAGAAAAGATACATAATCACAAGCCACGGTTCAGAGTCCACTTAATAGTAGGTCATAAGATCGTACATTTTAGTCGTGGTTTTGACGATGGAGAAGGCTAGGGCTTACACATTTCATATGTATTTTACCATTTCTAAATACACTGTGGATTTTGACCTTGTGACCTTGAACCTTGACGTTTGACATACTTTTCAAAAATGCTATTTTCCCCTTACAACTTCTGATTGAGAAGAGATAATGCTTTCATATTTTACATGTTCATTGCTATGATTTCTGACCCCCTTGATCTGGACCTATATGTTTGACCTATTTTTCAAATAAATCAACTTTAGTTATAACTTTTGAATGACATATTATAGGGCGTTCATATTTGGCACAATATGCCATAAATAATGACATATTACCAACATAGACACAGACAGCCGGTAAAACAAATTAAAGATTTTGTATATACACGTACATGTATAGTACATCGGTACATGCAGCACCAAGTTTACTTCAAAGAATTTTTGAGCATGCAATTTTTTCACCACCATGTATGTTCACTAAATTAGAAGTCAATGACTGGACCGAACTTTTGTCTAAGACATTTGATATATACTTTATTTTCATTACGTAAATGAAATTTTTCATAAGTGAATTCTTCAATCTTATTTTAATAACCAAAAAGTACAATATGAAAAGTGTCAAAATTGAAAATTTTAAAATGTCAGAAATGAAAACTAAAACATGTAGGCCATGAAAAGTTGAAAATACCGAAAAATTTCCAATCGGAATCCTCGGCTGACTCCACTACGCTCCATTCAAACCTCCGAGGTGCGATGTATGAGCCGCCCGTGATGCTCTAAGTGAAAATTTCCGGAAATGAAATGCAGCTGGGGGACCACAATTGTATTTGCTCGTTTAAATGTTTATTCAAGACCTCTTTGATGCATCAGTAATATTATTTTGCCTATTTGATTTTACTATCTATCCATCTACCCATTCATATGTTCATACTCTACATAGGCGTCGGAACCGGGGGTGGGGGGTGGGTTATCGGGGTCTTAGCCCCCCCCCCCCCTTTTTTTCGCAAAGATAGATATTTTATAGGCATTGAAATTGTGATTTACCTTTTTTATTGGTTTAGCCCCCCCCCCCCCCCCCCCAACCCACTATCAATTAGCCACCCCACTTTCAATTTGCTTCCGACGTTTATGCCCTAGCACGCATGTAATTTATTGTTAGTGTTTTAATCAAGAATACTTAGAATTTTCAGAAATAGTATTAACCAGTCAAATATAATCTATGTAACAATATTTACACAACATAATTAAATGCATATGATCTACATCCATGGAAAATGATTCTAGAATATTTGTAGGCCTTATTTCCCTCGCTGTCAAACGAAAAATTCTCGGACCAGGCATGTCTCTTGAATAAAAAATGAGCTCCTGGCAAATACTAATATTTTTACCGTTGTGTTGTATATAAAAATCAAAAAATATATATATTAAGTTTCAATACAGTGCCAATGTATGGTTTTAAACTGTATATCAATGGAAAAAAATCATATGAGACAAGCTGAATGAACGTTATTGTAAAAAGATATCCCATGTACGGGTCTTACAAAATTTTTTGTAACATGAATTTTGTAAACACCTTCTTCTAGAATTTACTTTATCATAAAATAAGCTTATTTATTCATGAACTCAATTGAATTGATTTACTTTTCTTTTAATTAAAAAATCAAAAGGCTATTGTATTTTTACTTTACACTAGATACTTATTTTCTTACATTTTTATTCTAATTTGTATCTTACTCTTAATTATAATTTTTTATTGCTTCAAAATTATAACGTCAATTTTACTTTTTAGATGTTTTTTAGTCGTTTCATGTTTTGTGATATTGTTGACATGTTCAATTAGTATGTTTCTTAGAAAAAAAAATTATTATAATTTAAAATTACCCCTTCGGGTACCCCATAAAAAAGATATCGAGAGTTATTCCCCTCTTAATATCTCTATAGTTACAGTAAACAAACTCCATTACTAAACAGTTTTCAGGAATCGTGGAAGGAGTGAAAATGACGTCAAATATCATTCACTCTGGCTATGTGTGATGTTGTTATTTGAAAGATCGCTTTTTAGCACCGATGTAAGGAAAATAAATCTACAAAGTTTCTTAAAGAGGAGTAGATTCTCTTTCGATCTATAATTGTAACACATATGCAACCGGTTCGTCAAACGAATGAAAAAACTCTCCGAAAAAATGCTTACATTTGACGATCTATAATCATAGCAATATACGAATCTGGCTAGTCGTGTTTGGTATCATTATATTCAGAATGATCAGCTGTATCTACCACTGTACCAAGAAATCTGAATATATCCTCTGTTGTCCAATAAACAGCGGAATAAAAGAATGCGGTTTTTACGACGCGCTAAATTCATGACGTTTTATTTCAGAACATGCTTGAACATTTGAAAGGAATTAAAACAAAATACAGCGATAAAGAATTATAAAATTATAATTTTTAGACTGTTTAACAATTTATCTTTACAGTTCAGTTAGGTTTTTTGAAGTTAGAGGCACGAAAATGTGTTAAATACGCTTTTTAAAACTGGTAGTTTTGTATACTGTCACATAGCGTAATAAATAACGTAAAATGACTTGTGCATGCTATACTATACATAGTAGTGTTTTTTTGTTTTTTTTCTTTTTTTTTTTTTTGTTGTTGAAGAATACCATTATTGCTGTCACATACATGTAACGATATATGCTTAGACTTTCTGACTAAGAAAAATATAATCTGTATAAATGTGTATATAATATTGTGAGAAAATGGTACTCTTGCCTATATTTAACAGTTTTGACAATTTTACCTTTGTGCCACTTGCTTAGTAGATAATATTTTATATGGCACAAAAATTATAAACCAAACACAAATACATGTACGTAGCTAGAAATTGTTATACATGTAGAAAGGTTGTAAATAATATTAGGAATGACTGTACATGTTGTAAGTAATATTCACAATAACTCTGCATGTTTCATCTATATATGTTTTCCAAAAGAGTAATACATCAATCAAAATCATTTATTTTTTAAATCTCAACACAACCTATTCTTCTTATTTTTTACAATGTATGACCAAAACTCCATTCAAACATTTCATAATAACAATATTCTGCTTTGTGATTGGTAGATGAGGCTTGTTCTGTTTATGGCTCTGCTATTTCTTCTCCACTGCTTGTTCCAAGAAAGGAGAAGGCAAAACTGTAAAGAAATTGAAAGGTTGTACCTGTCGTGGCTGGTGGAGACGGTGTTCATGTGGTAGATCTTTGGTGAGTAACTATCCCAGCATTTAGAATAAAAAGTGGAAGTTGATATTTTAGAAAATGAGCTCGAAGAATATAAGACAATATCGCAAAAATATAGGTACATATCAGTCCTTTATTTATATCGGATATCATTGAAAACAGTTCAAGGTATAAATTTGTAGTAGTACACTGTAGTGCTGATTTTAAAAAATATCCAAAAATTATCAGCAACAATCTGAATTTGAATATCATAACTTTTTTTAAATTATCGATAATTAACATGATTTACATAATTATTTTATTTTTCATATTTCAGAAGGTGGATGAGCGCGAAGCTTCAGAAATCGTGCAGGATTTTAAGCGGGTGCGGAAGAGATAAATCTAGATTGAATTTAAAGTGGAATTGAAAGTAGAATTTTAATCATTTATCTTTTTTTTTTTTTTTTGCATTTTTCAAAATTCTTTTTTTTTTCTCTTCTTATAGATGGAAGAATTGGCTGAAGATGCCACAGAAGATTAAGACACAATCAATCTCAGAGAGAAAAAAAGTTGTGAGACTACATTTGTTGAATAAAGTTCGAATTGTTTATTTTTTAACCTTTAAACCTTAAAACAGAAAAAAAATCAGGCAGCAGACCCATTTTAGCGCATATATATGATATTATTAGAGAAAAGAAGAAAAAAGAAAGGAGAAAAGGTAAGCAGCCAAAGCATGCCATATATGGAGATAAATACAGTATACAAGTTTACAAGTCCATCCAAACCTTGCAAATCAGTAGCAGAGGAAGCCTATAAAATATCAAAGGTGGGATCAGGTGAAATGAGCTGTTATTCATTCCCCAAATATTTTTTTCACTATTTATATTTGATTAAAAAAGAATAAACACACAGTATTACTTAACATCATTTCTTTCATAATTTTAATTTGTGCTCTGTGGAAAATCAATTAAAAGCGAAAACAATTTTTTTCACTTACACTCCAATATGCCAACAAAGGAATTGACGCGTTTAAACACAAAAGGCCCGAGACTTGTATTCCACTATATATCGAAAGAAAGACTACACTTAAAGTTGTATTTCATACAAATATACATCGACTATTGCTTCCAAACCTTTTAACTCCCCTTCAATTATATAGTCCTGCTGAATACGTTAAGGACATATGATACAAACAAATTTTTTCTTTGAAAAAGATTTAATATCATGTCAAAAGTTTAGAAAAGTGGATCATTCTTAGAATATTTTCTCCTAAGAAGTGGAAAATTAAATAGACTAGGAAAATATTAGTAATATTTCAATAAAAAACAAATATTGACAAATCACATTCAGTAAAAGTTTACATGTGAAAACAAATTTCAAAATATGTTACCTTGGTGCTAAAAGTGTAATAGAAGCCTTAGAAAAAAATACCAAGCCGGGTAAATTTTAAGAGGAGGAACAAAATCACAAAAAATTAGCAATATTACATAGGCTGATTTTTACAATTTAGCTTTTTCTTATAAAATTCACCTGGCTTGGTATATTTTTCTTCAGTTTATATTACACTTTTAGCACCAAGATAACATATTCTGAAATTTGTTTTCACCTGTAAACCTTTACTGAATGTGTTTTGTCTATATTTGTTTTCTCATTGAAATATTACTAATATTTTCCAAGTGTTTTTCATAATCCTGTTCTTAGGAGAACACAATCTAAGAACCATCCATTTTTCTAAACTTGTGACATGATATTTAATCTTTTTCAAAGGAAAAATTTGTTTGTATCCTCTGTCCTTAATACTGTTTCAATACTGTTGATGTTGAAACGAATTCAATTCGTGATATATAATTTTGTTTTCGAGTTTGTCATATCGAATTCAAAAAAATTATTACAACAAATTTAATTCAAATTTAGATGTTAATTATAGACATAAACAAAGTGCTAATGTAAACAGTCATTTCGCGACAGAATTCACACGGTGAAATAAATTAAGTGAAAGACGCACAGCATCTTTGCTTCTATGATTTTATACAAAAACAGCATCAAATATTGTGAAAAATTGACATTTATAGAAATTATTGGCAAAATAATTGATTACTTTGATGGTAAAAACATTTGATTGATATCTATCAAACAAAGGGTACTAAAACAAATATTAGTGTGTTTCAAAAATATAAATTATTGAATCGTGATTTTTTAACTAAGATGTATTTTACAATTATTACGCCACTATTTGAAAATGCAACAGAAATATTGTTTAATGTTTCCGCAGTTGACTGGAGAAATGACAGAAGCTGCGCGTATTGTCATGGCCTTCCTATTTATGCTTTTTGTAAGTCTCTATATTTGGAAACAGGGTGGTAAACATTTGCTTATAGACGGGAAAAGAGAAAATTATGTTTAATGTATAAAAGAAAACATTGTATTATGCCGGAGTATTTAATTAGTCTATTACCTCCTGATTTCTCATAAACTGCCTATTTTTATTTATGTAATTTCAATATCTTTTTTTCTATTTCCCGATGTAAAACAAACTTATCAAAAATTCATTCTCCACATCTACAATATCGGTATTGAATGTTTTGCCTCGATCTGTAAATGCTTTTAAAAAAGACTCTTCAAAGGTGAATCTCTCCTAAAATATTTTTCGTATGGTGAAAAAAAAAATAAACTCAATCTTAACAAGAATGAAACACAATGTAAGTATCCTTATTGCAGATTTATTTAAGGTTACACTTTCAGATCACTCTGTGTTCTTGTAGACATATTAATGAAAAAACTGAACACTTCTTCTTGTACTGTAAGAATTATGCTGAAATTAAAATAGAATTATTCCATACTATACGAAATAACAACGGAGCAAGAGGCCTTGACATACTAGGAATTTTATTTAGGGACGTCAATTCGGGTCAACAAAATAATATCAATATTGTTAAAGCTGTATATAAATTTATGTAAACAAAAAATCAGAAGGGTTTTATTAATAATCAGATTAACAAATATGTATCTTTTACAACCCCTCCTTCTTTCTTCTCTCCTTGCACTCCCATTCTTTCTTTACGTATTTCTCAGCACCATCTTCTTTTTTTATCATATTTATTTTATTGTATATTTGCTGCTTGTACATCACGTGAATATTTGTTTATTTTGTTATTTTGTTTGTTTTGGAGAGGACAATATAAGTTGGGTTAACTTATGTCCATTCTACGGAAGCCCATTTAGGACCTATCAAAAAATATTTTTGAATTCGTTATAACGATTTTTAGAATTCGTTATAACGAATTTAATTTGTTATAACAGATTCATTGAATTCATTATAACGAATTTAATTTGTTATAACAGATTCATTGAATTCGTTATAACGAATTTAATTTGTTATAACAGATTCATTGAATTCGTTATAACAATTTAATTTGATAAAACAGATTCATTAAATTTATTATAACGAATTTAATTTGTTATAACAGATTCACTAATTTGTTATAACAAATTAAGTCTGTTATTACAGATTTTTTTTTGATTCGTTATAACCAATTAAAAAATTCATTAAAACAAATTCTTGAATTGGTTATAAATAATTCAACAAATCTGTTATAACAGATTTAATTCGTTATAACGAATTAGTGAACTTGTTAGTTTACTTTGGTACAGGGGAGATCATTAAGTGGTGCGTTGTGTTAGCCAAATAACAGAACAATAGGCCATATTTAGAGTAAATTAAGAGTTAAACATTAGACAGTTAGAAACTAAAAAAGGTGCCTAGAGTTTCATTTGATTTGTAAAGAACAAGGTTCACTTTTGCCTTTTCTGTCCCGGTGAATTTTTGAAAAAAAAAAACTGAAACAGCTTACTAGTAGTTTTAATTAACAATGCACTGAATATCACTGAAATCTTTGGTGATTGTGTATTTATAAATATGACGCAATTTTCTGGCTAATCAATGAATTATGACGTCACGAAATGAGTCAATTTCATCATATTCTGAAAGAGTATAAAAACGGTCAATTTATAAAGCTATTTTTCGATATTTAATATAGAGCTCAACCTGTGATCTAAAATATGCAACAGGTAAATGATAGAACTGTGTCTGAGGATTAAAAGACGTGTTTTATTATTTAGATCATAGAGTGCGCTGTTATTTTTTTCACTCAAAGTACTCAAATGTTTACCGTAAAATTTAAGAACATTGCAATTCGATAAAGCCAGTTCTGTAAAACCTGGACTTTTTGGAGAAAGAAATAATAGAAAATGAAAGCTCTAAGTTTATATTTTATTTTAATGCTTCAAAAGGAACACCAAGTGTTAATCAATTAATTGATATATCTGCAGGGCCATTTTTTGTATAAAGTGAACCGAGCTCTTTTAACATTCCTCGTATTGACGACGACAATATTTAATGTGGCGCTAATATTTTAAGTATAGCACTGAATTTTTCATTTTCTAAAGGATTCAACGTAGGCGGGGATGATACGAGTAACTCACAGCAGTTTTACTAACCGATACTCGTACCATTCGAGGGTTAACCTGGTACTCAGTGATAACACTAACCGACATTTATTTTTTAGAAGATTGCTCTACATGTAGTCTAGTATTAGGACATCCACAATGAGGCATGTTGCTTGAAATAGTGTTATCTCTAAAGCTAGTTACCGACATTTACTACTTGAACAGGCAAAAGATATTTAGGATATATTTTCTTATTTTTTGAATTCATTTAGTAAAAAAAAAAATTCTTATCTTTTTTTTTTTGATTGAGAGATCTTCATACAGGTCTGACGTACAAAATTGTCCAAAACAAAATGCATAGTCTTCTTATTTAATAACAATATCCATGAGATACATAGATGCAGGAGTTAATATTTATCACTGACATGTAAAAATTACGTTTCAGTACCAATAAACCCGTATTGAATAATTTGTACATTTCGAGATCCTTAAAGACTGGATTTCTTATAATCTATTTTACTGTTTCCAAAAGTATTTCAAAGAGAATTGAAAACTCTAATTCCAAAAAATAAATCCATTTTGCAGTCATTTAAATGCATGAAAAATTACAGATTCAAAACGGTACAAATTTTCAGATAATTATTTAAACTGAACTTTTCTTTTTCTAATTGATTTCAAATAGAGAAATGAAATATCTGGGAAGAAAAATAAGCAAATATCGAAATTATTTTTTTCATTTTAATGATGTTAGATGAATTTCACTAAAACAAACTAGGCAATAGTATACATGTGCAGCTGCATCCGTGAGTATGTTACATACAATGTTTTTATTTTGGCATATCCTCCAGCAGATTGTTAACAGGATGTCCTTGTGCTACAAAAAAATTACTGTATGCGGATACTTTCCTTGAGATAACTGATACTACTTTTATATTGTTGCGCTAGAATTGTCTTAGAATTTGCAGGTATAATACATGCTGCAAAGGCATGGATGAAAGCAGCAAACATTAATGATATAACTGCAAAATTACCTTACCCATTAATTTTGTCTAGCACTAATATTCTTTCAAAGTGTAAGAAAGCAAAACAATTTTATGAAATAATTAATGTAAATGAAATTGAATCCACTTGGAAAAGAAAATAGAATGATATTTTTGATTTAGGGGAAAATAAATGGAAGATGATTTTTTTAACTTCCATTTAAAATTACAAAAAAATAGTAAACTTAAATGGTTTCAATACAGAATCTTGAATAAAATACTAGGTACAAACTTATATCTATTGAAAAGTAGGAAAAGAGATGATAACTTATGTCCTTTCTGTAATATGGAAGAAGAAACAATAAAACATGTTTTATGGGGGTGTGATAATGTACAGACCCAAATAGTCTTGAAATATATTGTGAGCAAAGGACAGGGTTACAACTTTCATTCACAAAGCAAAGTTTTATTTTGGGAAAACAATTACAATACAGAGATATTCATAACTTACTTGCCTTATGGATAAAATATTATATATATATATATATATACACAATGAGATGTTTAGAAAAAAAATAGACGCCAGTCTTGCGACTTCACATATTAAACTTTTATGTGGAAATCAACAATATTTAGCATATAAAAAATGGTGACGGAGAGATTTTTGACACAAACTGGAATCAGTGGAATCAATTGTTTTTATAAAATAGTATAAAATGAAACAGTCTTATTTATGTGAAGGATTAAACATGCCAACTCTCTCTCTCTGTCAAAAAAAAAAAAAAAACAATCTGTAAAAATAGTAAACTTTGTATGATGAATAATGAAACAGATTATGTAACATAAATAAAGAATTAAAAAAGAAGACTCGATAAGCCATCTATTTGATACTTTGTTAAAATCAGAAATATGAAGTACGAGGGCTGTCCAAAATGTTCGTGGACAATGACGTTTTTGTGAAAATAAATGGTTCTATATAACTCTGTTGTATATCAAAATATTTCTTATGAAAAAACAAGTAATAACTTTATTAATTTTTTATTGATGGAATGTAGTATTTTTTGTTTAATGAAAATCGGGGTCTTTAAAGATCGCAGAGAGTGCGCACGTACCAAGATTTAATTGCCATAAACTCTGATACAAAGTGTTTGGATTAAAATGATTATTTTCCATTTAAAACAAGTCAAAAATTGATAAAAATGTTATGTTACACAAATAAAGAGGCTATAATCATTTTGTGATATCTTAAGTATAGATTACTATATATAGACAGTACAAATACTAAACAAAAACCCTAACAAATATGTGTCAAAACTTGATAAAAAAGCGACGTCGGCCGTCCGCACGGTTCAGCGTCCGAACAAATGATGTTTTAATACGGTTGAAACGGCGTTAGAGACAAAATATTTGTTAAAACAACTCAAAATTATTGAAACATATTAAGTGTATCGATTTGAGATTGGTATACGATTTTTCAACGGTGTGTACAAATTCGAAGACACTACAATAATTTAAAAACACTTGTAATTCACTGAAATTGGAGAATTCTATTCGTGGCGTTTTATAAATCTAGCACAGCGTCGGATTGGGCTGGGCAGTTTGTGTATACAAATTGTTTATTTAGATGACGCTTGTATTTTTATGAATTGTTGAATCAAAAATTATATAAATTATAATCGATACTTAAAGATTATTGAAAGCACTTGAAAGTGCGTTGCGCCTAAAAAAAAAAGAAATGTGGTGTGTGTCCATGAACATGTGTTAAGCAAAATCCAAATGTTTGACGTTATAATGCTTAACGTCAGACTGGTCCATGCGCACAATCTGCGATCATTTAAAGACCCCGATTTTTACAAAAATATTAAGTTTCATAATTAAAGATTAAATCATTCTGAATTGATTTTTCATAAGAAATATTTTGATATACAATAGATGCATATTGAACCATTTATTTTAACAACAAAATCATTGTCCACGAACTTTTTGGACAACCCTCGTATGTGACTTTATAAATATACGATCAGTTATAATGAAAGATATAATAATACTGATCGTTTTACTAGCTTTAAAATTTTAGAATAAACATGTATATCTTTTTAAAGCAGAATAAAAAAAACTGCTATAAATCAATTTAGCTAGTCTAATACCCTGCTAAATTAAAAAAAAATACACAAAACGTCTCTCATTTCTTCTTTGGTAAAGCAATAACATTTATCTTGAATTTATTAACTTAAGAGTGTAAACAATACAGTAAAATCATCATCAATAAGAAACATTTTATTTAGAAGATTAAAGCAACAATTACAAGAAATATATCATATCAAAAAATCAGAAAACACATTGGTACGATTAAAATATTAAGAGGTTGTTGATTTGAGCAATACCATTATGCTTGATTTCTTACCATCACTAGGATAATGCATGCGTATCAAACAATGATAGCATTTTTTAAAATTTAACTACCATTCAATTTATGTATGCTCATATTGTCTTTTCTTCTGTTTGGAGGGTATTGAAACGGGCCCCTGTAAATTCCAGAGATGAGATCAGGGGACTAGAACTAATAAACATCCCTTGTATCCCGAAGTAAGTTTTGTATATTGATCAAGTAGACGGAATTTCCCTTGGTCAAATTTAGAATGCTGTGAAATCACTTATTTTCTTTGGGGGTTTACTTTTCATTGTTTTGAGGTATTATTATTGAGGTATTGAGAGGCCCACGAAATTATGACTACCACGAAATGGAAAATTTCATATGCATTGCTTACTTAACATTCTCCAACCACGAAATCAAATCCCCATAAACCATTTTTTTTTCTTAAACCTCGAAAATTTGAACCCACGAAAATATGTGATTTTACAGAAAAAAAGGCCTAAAATAGTTGTGAAACAAGCCAGAAAAAGTGAAATGATGATAACATTTGCTTACAAGGTCCTTATAAAGACATTGATATTATGCAAATATTGACCATTTAACGAAGCCGATAAAAAATCAAATGTGTACCAACCCGATTTCTTAGAGGGCTATCTTAAAAGTTGTAATTTTTTTCGAAATGTGCCAAATTTTCACATTTTCCATTTCTTTTAGTAATTATGCATTTCATTCAAATGCATGAAAGTTTTTGTGAAAAGTAATCAATATTTGAATTTTAAAAAAAAGTTGAATTTTACTATTGGATCTTATGGAATTTGTTGGGAAAGCGCCAAATTTTCATATTTTTCCATATGTTTTGGTATTTATGTCCAAGGGATTTCCTTTGCATTCAAATGCATAAAAGTTATTGAAAAAAAGGTACCAAATTGTGACATTTCAAAACAGTTGACAATCTGGTTTAGTCTAGGCATTATTACAAAGTTTTTCCCCTGGCGCCCCATGCCTCTAAATTTGCCGTATTGCGACATATATTTTGTATGTATCGGCGCAGATGTTTTTTTTTTTTTTTCGTACAAAGAAAAACCAAGTTTCGTTGGTATGTTTCTTTTGATGCTCTGTCAGCCGTTTTTAATAAAATGTCCACGGACGTCTCATATACTCAAGCGAGTTATGTGTCATTCTTCTGTGCCATGCATTGCTTACGACAGAACGGAGTACATGAAGTCATCAACGCAATTTCAGTGTTTTCCTAATTATTGACATATAGCACATTTAAAGACCCAAAAACGTTACAGATAATGAAATATAAATGTTAATTCTGTATCAAAATAACAATACTTAGGGTAAGTGCCATGTTGCACCAACCGCAGCATAATATTAAAAAAGCTATTCAAAGTCATGCGCACACAAATTAGACTTGGCCTAGATAAGCGGTTGCAAAATCAAACAGACATTACTGCGGTATGATTGTACTTTATTGTTGCCCCTGAACAAGTTTGACTAAAATCCGGCTCTGATGAGTCATCCTATATTCCCTACATGTATAAACTTACACTTTTTTACATGTATGACTAACACTTAAAATCTAATGTTCCAAAATTATTTTTCGAAAAGGATGCCACATATTTTGCTGTTTCATTTACCAGGTGACACCCGGAGCCCAAAATGATATAAAAAAAGAAAAAGCATGTTAAATGTTTTCATAGTTGAATTTTTGCGAAAATCAAAAGGTACGTAAAACGTTCTATACCTCTTTCTTGATTATCATATTGTTTGTCAAAATTTCAATTTGGAATCTTTATTATGCGTCAGTATTGTAGTTTTTGTATATCTATGTAGATGAGAAGCGTTCTTTTCGTGGTTTTCTTGTTGTCCCTTTTTTGCCTATTCCAAATGGGTGAAACCAAGAGGTGTTGGTATTACTGTCACTTTAGGCATTGTCACCGTTATTGTTACCGTGGTCTAACTTCTAAAAGGGTAAGATGGTGTTCATCTTTTCAAATATTTTTTTTTTCATCACCGTTAGAACTAAATCAAAATCTTTAAGAAAATTTACTGGGCCCTATTCAAATACTGTACGTGTCCATTATTTGGCGTATTCGAAATTTAGCACAATTAAGGGGGCCGACTATAGTTTCCATTGCGCAATATTTTGCGCATCATAGTAACATGAAGCGTATTTACTGTTTTAATGCAACTTTTTTGCTTAATTATTGAAATTAAATAAAATTAAGAAATAATGGGTATAAAAATGTAATTACAATTTGATATAATTGATTTTTTAACCGATTTTGCAATTGATAGGTAAGTTGACGTCGTTGCTGTGTGTTTTTGACGTTATGATAATCTGTAGCTCTTTAAGAAAGGGGTAATAAAAATATTATTAAAGAAAAAGTAATAAACATACGCTCTTTAAATTTAAAACAAAGAAATTTGAGAATATTTCCAATATTTTTATTATGTTTTCATGTGAATCTGTTGTGTACGTCATATTTTGTAATACTCTATAAGAATAGTAAAATTTGCTAATTTTTTGCATTTTGAGATGTCCCCTCTGGTAACAAGACGGTAGAATTTTGTGCTTCTTACATATATTGTATAATATTGAATTACTCATCAAGAATTATAGTTTGAACAAAATGTCTATTGTAGTATTTGTATAATTTGCTTTAAAGTGCTAAAAATTGGCATTTTCCTATATAATCCTATAGTAAATGTACCACTAAAAATACCTGGAAGGATTTCCCCCAAACTTTGCACGTACACTGAAATTAATGTAAGTTATATATGGTATAAAAATGAAGAGTTTCGCTATTGTAGTTTTCACACAATAAAACTATAGTCGGCCCCCTTAATGGGTATGAAGTTGTTGGCGTAATCATGAATTAGCACTACGCATGTCCGTGCTTTATATTCTATTTATAAATGAATTATTAGCGGTATTTTATGAATAAGCACATCCTCGTCTGCGCCAGAGCCGCTAAAATATGAAGCCACTATTTGAAGTACACACCAGGGATGGGGTAATTGAGAAAAAGTAATTGTAATTGACTGTAATTAATTACATTTTTGAAGTAATTGGAAGTAATTTGTAATTGAACATTTTTTTTCCAATTACTTGTAATTTAATTAATTACACCAAAAAAATACAATGTAACTTCAATTACTTTTTAAATTACATTCAATTACATAGTACTTCTTACAACATCAAGTATTCATGATATCTTGTCACTACTACCTCCCCATTTTACTGTCATTTATTTTATTGCAAAACATATCCTCAATCCTTCAATTATACAAGAGACAGATTATTTTATAACAATAATCTAATATCTTTCTAATAATTATATAAAATTTGAATTTTTTGTTTTATGTTTATCTGAATTTTGCACCACCATTCTTAGATCTATTCAGCTATGAGACACAAATTTATTATATTTGTTATATTTCAACCTCTGTTTTTGATCGAATAAGAATTATAAGAATGTATGTGTCCAAGAAAAAAGAAAAGGAATGTATGAGTCATTTACTAAGTTCTCTCTTGTTGGTAAAAGATAATTGCCCTCCAGATCAGAGCTGTAAATTGCAATCAAAACAAATCAAGTCCTATAAAGAGGTATTCATTCCATGATTTAGAAGACATTTAGCCAATGCATGGATATAATTATTTTAATTAAAAATGCTCCGATAGTTTGTGAAAAGACAACCTTTCAATTTGATAATTATTTTAACATCTAGACAAAATTTTATGCATGAAAATTGTATCTGAAAAAGTTATGTTCTGTACAAGTATTATTTAGGAAGTAAAAATATTCAACATATATATAGCCAATTTAGGATGTTCAGGTTACCTTCAGAAGAAATATCTAATTTGATGGGTTACAATTGCGACTTATTTTACTCTATTAAAATACCATCTTTTAATCAAATATCATATCCCATGTAAATTATGTACATGAAGATTTTGTGTGGAGGAAACTACATCAAACTGATCTTGATTAGTTCTTTAATGTTTTGTAAATAACAGTTATAATTTAAACCACATAGATACACAATGCCTATAGGATATTATTTATTGAATTGTTTGTGCAGAGGCTGTGCTTTATAAACAAATTAATGATCGCCGTTCTGTATAGTTTATTGACAAAAAATATAAAAATTTTCAAAAAAAAAAAAAAAATAAAAAATGTAATTTGTAATTTAATTAATTACTTTTGTAAAGTGATTGTAATTTAATTCATTACATGTCTTAGAAAGCCTGTAATTTATTTGTAATTTAATTGAAGAAAAAGTCAAAGTAATTGTAATTTAATGAATTACTTGTTAAAGTAATTGACCCCATCCCTGGTACACACATTGTATTACATGATTTCATGTGAAAATTTTATGAAATGAATTTTCATATGTTTACATGTAATTAATAAATTATTATTTCACTTTAATACCAAAAAATACGCAAACCCACGGAAGCCCTTTTTGAACATTTTTTTTTCGATTCCAAATGACGAATATAGTCAAAATTGTAATAACACACTTAATGACAGATTTATTACTTCTTTGTGAAAAGATTTAAAATTTGTTATAACAATTTTAGTACCATTTTTAAAACGAAGTCTTATACAGGAAATTGATTTATAGAAATGAAATTCCTTTGAAACGAATGCAAGATATTTTTATACCGAATTGAAACAATATTATTTATAGATCTTAATTGTCAGAACTGGGAAAACAGTTTTATTTAATTGGTTTAAATATTTTTTTCTCTTAGTACGTAAACCCAATTATGACCTATAAATTTTAAGTTTCTTAAATTTTGTTTCAATGATCTTAATCTGTCATCATAAATTTGTTAAATTCCTTATAACGAATTCAAAATGGGGTATATCATATTGGATTGTTAGAATTGATGAAACTAATTTAATTCGAATTCCTTATAACAAATTTTTGAATATTTGACAAATTGTTGAATTTGTTTTAACAAGTTGTTGAATTTGTTTAAACAAATTGTTGAATTTCTTTAAACAAATTGTTTAATTTTGTTTAAACAATTTGTTGAATTTCTTTAAACAAATTGTTGAAATTCTTTAAACAAATTTAAATATCAAAACAAAGAAGAATGTATGTTTTTTGCTTTATTGCGCCCTAAAATGTAATGTCATCAAAGGTTTGAAACTGGTTTGAATATTAGTTAATATGGTATAAAGGATTACCATTCTGCAAATATGACGTCTTTAATGTTATGCATTTCTATATTTTTAACGGAAAAAGCCCAAAATTAGCCAACCTCAAGGGTAATTTTCCTTTAGAAAATAGTGTCCACAGCCGCCGCTCACTTTATTTTTTTATATATTGTGCAAACGTCAATAAAAAATGACATATTTCAAAATCTTTGTATCTGAAAGAAACTTCCCTTGAAAATTGATGCCTTCTGCAACTTTTTAAGAAAATACGGGAAAGCACATGTTTATGACGTCACAATAAGCATTTAAAACACATGTGAGAAAAAATGATTTGTACCTTTTTTCTGCATGGAATACCAATAATTCAGAAAGCACTTGTTTTCATCTTTTAAACGTTTCATTTTTTAGAAAATCACAGGGCAAGATTTGTATAGAAAACATACCTTGTTCTTTTAGAACCCGTTCTAAGGACTTTATTTAATTAAAAAAATAAATTCAATATAACGAATTCAACACATTTGTTACATCGGAATAAATTCGTTTTAACAAAATCATGAACAACTATTATAACCAGACACATTTTTAGAACACATTTTTGGATTCGTTTCATAAAATTTAAATTACTGTACAAACGTCTTTAATCTCTGTACACTATACATAGATTTAATAAGTTGAACTTCTTCTCTTGTGTGACAGCAGATATGCTGTGATTATTGCTTTAAAATTTTTTTGAACCAGCTAGTATTCCTCAGTTTGAATTGGAACAATGGAAGAACATCGGATTCCTCTTTTTTCTCCTTTTTTGTTATCTTTTCTCCTTTAACTCATTTACATTTCTATATTTAAGGAGTTGCACAACAATGTAAGAGAAGAGAAAACAAAAGTAAGCTATTTTAATGACATCTTAAAAATATAATTTTATGATATCTTAAATAATGTTTGGTATTTGATGAATTTTGATTCACATTCATTCTTCGTATAAATGATTTTTGTTTAGAAGGAAACAAGAGACGAACCAGCGAATAATGGTTGGGATCCGTGGAGAGACTGAAAGATCAATGGACTGACAAAACATAATATGTTACTTATTTCTGTATCTTTGCTTTGATAATTTTTCTTATTAAACTATTCTCCAGCATCCAATAATGTGCCTTTTAATTCTGTTTTCACGCGGAAGAAAATATAGCCATCTTCGGTAAAACATAAATGAACTTTAACATATGCACTGAATATTTTCTGTTGTTAAAATGCTTTATATTAATCTGTCAAGAAAAGAAAGATATACTTACTTTTTTCTCAAAATATTTCCTTTATCATCTAATTTTTTTTGATGATTAGAAACATCATTAGCGCCCTATACTTCAATACATTTAATTTATTATACATTGTTTAAGAAACCCCGACAGCAGGGAGTATTTCAATAGATAGAATCATGATGACAAATGTCCCTGTCATATTATATAAAAATGATTATAACTGGCACTAAAGAAATCATGGTGTATGAGTCACAGTTTGGCGTTATACAGTCATGTAAACTGCAGTTCTGTACATTTTAACGAGATAAATTAATAATTTATTGTATTAAAAAGAATTGAGTATATTAAAACAGCAACTAGAATGAGCATGTTTCACGACGCCTTTCTTCGTGATTTTTTTTATTATGTAATCAATGTTATCATACGTACGTCTTACCTAATTTGGAACCATACAATTATCCACAAATATTTACATCACAAATGTTTTTTGCATATAAAGTGAACGGAAATCTATTGCATTCAAAACACCATTACACAGATAGGGTACCAAGAGGTTAAAAAAGGCGTTTTAGTTTGTCGTCACAATCGTTGAACACCGAGGAATAGCAACGTCATAAGCAAAAATCAAATATCACGCTCAAAATGACAAAACTCTGTTACGTTGGATGATCCATCAACTGTAGCTTACAAAAAGGATAATACAAAGGTTTTTACGTAGAAATCACATTTACAGTTAAGCTAGAAAGTAAAAAAAAATGAATATAAGTAATGAATCATTATTTTTTGAAAGTTAAAAAACGGTGTGTGAAAACATATTTTTATTGACGCGCTAACGCACGTTACTCAATTTGTTTGCACACACTGTTGCATTTAATTCTTTAAAAAAATAATAATGATTCATTGCTTAACTTTGTTCATAGCAAGACGGTTCTGAATTAGCAACTGATCATGTATTTCAAGAAATTATTGAGAGCTACGCTTATTACGCTTATGAAAATAAAAATAGATCCACATTTGCATAAAAGAGTGGGTTTTTAAATATTCTTGATTAAAATGGGTTCTTTTCATTGTTTCTTCAGTCAAGAAAGTATCTAGAGAAAATCAAACATAGATTTCGATATGAGGTGTTTAGACTTTTTGCTTTCTCTTTTATACCAGAGTTTTAGAGTGAAAGTTATCCAATAGTGGGACATAACATTCCCTGCCCAAGGGAAGTAATTCTTTACTTCGAGATTTTTGAGAATTCTCCCTGCCCCCTAAGTGGTGAATATATGACTCTAGAGCAATATGGCTCCTGTGGAATTTTCCATTTAGATCCCCTCGTTTGTATTAAAGACCTACTCTGCCACTAGCTGTAGATTTAGTTTCCCTTCAGTGTAGTTCTTCCAAGCAATAAGTTTTCCTATCATAAGTTATATTATTACCAAACATGGTGTTTATACTTACAGCGGGGGGGGGGGGTGTTTATACTTTACACTGCAGTTAGATGCAGTGTAACCCAGTGGGACCCACATCACTGACCCACATCACTGAAGTCTTTTCTGGAATTCAAGTGATTCGTTTTTATGCCGTCTTCACATTTATGTATCGTCTATAGAATTCTAAGACCAATCACTGAAAGTTATTTTATTCTTTTACAGTCATATAAAAGATGCATTTCTTTAAAAAAAAAAGGCTTGCATATGGTTAATTTTTATACAAAAGATTTTTCTAAAAACAGCACATGGAATAAATAATTTTTATCAAATAAAATCAAATAAAATGTATTTCAAAAGTCCCTTGAATATTTCAAAAAGAAAACACAGACCCCTAAATCATCAGGTGTGGAACCAGGTGGCATCAAGGAATGAGCATCCCCTGTTAACTGGTCACAGCTGCCGTCTGCTCCTAATCATAATCGGGATATAACGGAAAATATCTTTGGACACGTTATTGTGTAAATAATGGCTTAACATTGTGAAATGAAAAAGTCCATCAGCACTTGACTTAATGATAAATTGCATTGTGCTGAAAAGGTTCTTGTATCGAAAAAAAAAAATTAATAAATTTCATATCAACATATGTTTCAAATTAAGAAGAATATTTCAGGAAATTATGAAGAAAAAATAATTGAGAGCGTTTTTTTTTCTTTCCGAGTACCAAGGACATTTTTAACAACCTTCGTATATTTGAGAAATATAATTTAAAGAACACGCTTTTTGACATCAATAATAGCTGCTTTTTTAATAAAAACGGAGGTCGTTATTTACTTACATTATTATTGATCGCTTGCAAAAGTACTTTTTAAAGACATTATGATTGTACTATAAAGTTCATATCAAAATCATGTTTGAGTTTCTAGCTGATAATATCTATATCATGTTAGAAGTCCTACGGGTACCATTTGCGCCTTGTCATTCCCAAACATATTCTTGTATTCGTATGAAACAGTATTTTGTCCAAAATCTTGTTAAAAGTAGAAAACACTTTCTGTTCTATATATCCAGGTAAACTTGAATGAAAAGATACTACAGAGGCTGAGGCATCTGTTTCATATTGAGAAATTGTACTTGAAAAAAAAAATCTAATGGTTTTCTAACTTCTACGCTCAGTGATGAATGGGACGACTTTAACTTTTGAATCGTAAACTTCTTTTACTTTTGCAGTAATATACCTTCATCATCTGCATACAGGGTTTATATCTCTCACTTTATTTGCAAAACCATGTTCTGCGTATAAACAATTTATGACGCAAGATATGCACTGGATAAACAAGTTGTTAATACAAGAATATAAGCAGCATCAACAAGAGTTATTATTTCGATATGATGACCTTGTCATCAAATACAATTTATCATTTAATCAAATGCTGATTGATATTTTTGTTCCCCACTTTTGCGAAGCGAAGGAACGTTAAATCTCATTGATCTGTCCGTATGTCAGTCTGTCAGTCTATCTGTCTGTCCATTTACAAAAATGTTCACCTTGCCAATAACTTTAAATTTAGTGGAGGTATCACTTTATGTTTGACATTTGTATTTCTTGTGACAAGACTTTTTCTTGTACTACTAAAATTGACCTTTGACTTTGACCCACTTGAACTAAAAAGTTCTAATGCTTTACTTTGGCCATAACTTTTGAACGACAGATTTTAAATCTTTAATATTTCACATATTTATTTTTTGTTGCAAGACCTTTCATGGTATACCAACGACTTTGTCCTTTTGACCTTGACCTTTTATATTTTTGTAAAATTGAAAAAACTTTAACCTGTGTCATAATTTTTGAACGGTAACAGCTAGGGCTTTTATTCTTCACATATGTAATCCTCGCTAAAAGGCCTTTTATTGGATACTAACAACTTTGACCTTTTGACCACGACCTCGGAGATTTCGTACTTATAAAAAAAACCTGAATCTTGTGCATGACTTTTGAACGGTAACGACTAGTGCTTTCACATGTCACATGTGTAATCCTTATGACAAGACCTTTCATTGGATATCAAGACCTTTGATGCTTTAGCCTTGGAGTTTGAAATACTATTTAAAAACTTTAAAGTTGGCCATGTATTTTGAACAGTTAGACTGGCTAGAGTGTTCATGCTTCACATATGGTAATACTAGTGAAAAGAATTTTCTTAAGAAACCAACAACTTTCACCGTTTGACCTTGGAGTTTGGCCTACCTTTTAAAAATTCATTACTGGCCATATTTTTGAACAGGTGGTGCTAGGGCCTTTAATATATCACAATTGTATATATTAACACAGTATGTTATTTTTTAAAAAAATGCCATCTCAATAACAAAGACACCGAAAGCGCGGGACCCGTAAGGCCATTATACTATTACTATGAATTGTCGCTGTGACAAGGAGCACAGGGCGGTTAAACAAACCTTCAGCTTGAAGAAAAAAAACAGACTCATTTTTTAACTGAACACGATTTGTTTCTCCTTTTATCCCTTTTAAACAAAAATTGAAATCTTTTGGGGGAAAAAGATTTCCCCACCTAGCTAGCGGTATTTTCAGTCGGGATAGTAAAAGCATATATTATCTTAAATGTGACCTAGAATATAATTATTATTTTGGATTTGTTTTGAACTGTACTGTATCTTTTTTAGTTAGCGGATAACTATTTATTTGACTTTATATAATTCCTGCAGGTTAAAACAATAAATGGAATATAAAGTTATATGCTATCATATAAAAGCAATTCTGTTGCTGAAAATGAATAAAAAAAGAAAACTCATTAATATATATTCCTGTATTAATTATGGAACAAAGCACATGTACGTGTCAACATTTGAGTATATCCGAATCCGTAAGGATGTGTCAGACAGCAAAAATTGGATGTCCTTGTGCTAAGATAAAGGGATTCTCAGCTGTTATTTATGCATTTATTTCATAATAATGGATCGCATTATCAACGTTCCGTCTAGAGTGCATTGAACATATTTTCTATATCCGGATGCAAATATATCGATATTAGGCATGCATTTAATTTATAGTTTGGAGACAATTCATTGCACTTCTTTTACTCATTTACTAGTATAATTTTTTTTTGGTGACAAAATTTTTGCAAATAAAACTTCATTTACTTGTTTAATTTCCAGAGAGAGAGAGAGAGAAAGAGGACATATTTTCGTTGTCACAGAATAAATATAATTTTGAAATAATAACGAATTGAATGAGTCTTGGTAATTTATGATAAAAATAATCTTAATTCTGCATATTTAACTCGCACGTTAATTTTTTTTCAAAACGTTTGGAGTAAATGCAAGTTTTATAATTCAATTAAAAATATTTAGGATTGCATTGTGTAACAAAATTGTTGTGTGGGCAACAAGCATCTAGGACAGCTTGTTTTTTTTTTTAAATAAATCGATATCAAAACATATACCTGTAGATACTCTT